GATCTAAGTATGGGTGATAAAGTAACCGTTGAATCAAAAATCGAAAAAAAAAAATATCTGTCTGAATTGTAGTTCTGTGTTGTCAGCACTGCTGTATTGTATCGGCATAAATTATTTTCATCTACTTTGAAAGAATTACTTTTATTTGCAAATTTCAATACTAGTATGATTTTATTTCTTCTGGTTTTAAATAAGTAAATTTCAAAACCAATTTCATGATATTGTTTTTTTTTTTGGGTCATTTTTTACACAAATCTGGAAAAAAAGCATTTGCCATTTCAGAAATAAAGTATGTTACAGTTTACAAAACTTGCAGGTTTTCACAGTTTTTGAATTTGGAATCTTCTTTGCCCAAAATCCATGTGATCATTTGACGCGCCTTCATACTAGCTTTCACAACACTGCGATTTTTGTACCAATGGGCTGGAGAGCTCTCTCGTCCACTCTATAGTGATTGAATGAAAAAAAAGCAAGGGGATACATTGAAATGAATTTTCGGTCCCCGTTTCATTTTCTTTTAATTTTTTTTTTACATTTTTTTAAATTGATCGTTACCATAAGATGAATAGAAACACGAATTTGAATATAAATTCCATTTTGCACGGGCTATACATGAAGTACACTAGAAAATATACTCACTTGCAATGCATTTTGCTCTTTTTTGAGGCGGATCTGAGTTAAAGTTCCTGCTAATAGCTCGTCAACATTGTGATTAATACCGACACTTACTTCAACATATTTTGCTCGATATGTACACGCTAAACATTTTCCATCTGAAAATGGCAATAACAACAAACAATAATGAGTGGTTTAATTAGAAAATAAATACACTGTGCGACAAATTTTATGTCAAAAAAAATGATATGATGTTGTATATGATTTTTGCAATATTGATGTCATCACTTTTTGGTCGATAACTCATCCAGAATTGGGAATATCGTCTTTACTTAAAGAGTAGGTGTAGAGTTACTCTTTCGCAAAAAAATGAGCAAGTCGAGATATACTCAAAATCAAAGAGTATATACTCTGAGTATATACTCTCATACTCAAAGAGTATCTATGAGTATGAGAGTATGTCGAGACATACTCATTTTCCGTTTGTATGGGAGTAGGAGTAGGAGTATGAATTATACTCTCTTACTCCGCCCACCTGTATATCTTTCCATATTTTTCATTTGAATTTTCGTTAAAGTGTCTCTGTGGATAAGGTGAACTTGTTTTTCAGCTAGTTTAGTAGAAAAAATCACTAATTTTTAGGGCAATTTCGAGTTTTGGACCAATTTTTGAGCGTTTGGTAGATATTTGGCCACATTAGGTCATAACAACGGCCATATTTCGATTTTTATTGTATGCTTTATTAAATATTATGTTCACAGCTAAAAGATATGGCTAATACGATTTACCTATGATGTCCAGTTGGAAAGTTATGGCTTCCCAAGTGATGACATGTTCATTTTTTGCACTATTTTGGCACTTATAATCACTTTAGCAGCCATAACTACCCTTTTAGAGGTCATAGGCAGGTCGCAATAACCTTATTTTTTAGCTATGGACATCAGCTTTAAAATGCCATACCGCTAAAACTGAAATGTATTATCTGTCATGGTTTAATCTGCCTCAATGTCCACCGAAACACCTCAAAATTGGTTCAAAAATCAACTCTTTGCTACAACTTTGCTTGAGAAAGTAAGACGATATTACCAATTCTGGATGAGTTATTGACCAAAAAGTGATGACATCAATATTGCAATAATCATATACAACAAAAATATTACACAGGCCTTAAAAAACAACCTGAGCCAAAAACGCAAAAACCAGCACTTATATTATAGTCCTATAGGAGTACTTCCATACCATGGTGGTCGTTTCCAATTACTTTTTTCACCCAAAATTTGTCGCACAGTGATATAAGCAAAAAACAAAAAAGAGTTATGAATGCTTCACAATCAAGACGTTTTTCTAATGATTTAATTTAATTTCCATTGTACATCTCATGCTGTTTATTGTATGAGAGCCAAACAAAGACCTTTAAACGGAAAATACGGAAAAGTTTTGGTGGAAAAATGAGTCAATTGGCGGGTATAAAGTAATGATGTTGTAGAATATGCCCTCGCAATAAGCGTTGAAAAATGATCGGATCACTTTTTCTATGAAAATTTCACACAGATTTTTTCTAAAAATTTATATTCCACGTGTATTGTGCATTTGGTACAGTCAAGCCGGAAATCACGATATAAATTCATAAGTATTTTTTCCTTATTTTAAAAACTGGGATAAGAAACGTGATATTTCCAATTTATCATAATGGAGGTCGTTATAAAACCCAAAGAAGATTCCAAAATTCCAGATATACAAACAATAAATGAATTCGTTTGAATAAAAAAAACACTCCGTATGTTACAAGTGGCGTTTATTTACCTTGTGATGAAACTGCTCTCGAACGAGCCAAATCAATTTTGTTGGCAACTATAATCACAGGGCGGGTACGAATCAAGTCCAAATCTTGGATTGACATCAACAGCTGCTCGACACGGGTGAATGATGCTTTATCAACACATGAGTAAACCAAAATGAAGGCATCAGCCTTAATGTATTCCTCCTATGTGCGTTCAAGATGCGTGACGGCCATAAAAGTAGAAGAATCAACACCAGCAACGAGATAACAACGATGACAGCGAAGACAGCGATTTCGTGCAATTTGAAAAGATTTAATCAACATAAATTGTAAATTTGAATTTTCTTCAATTTTCAAACTCAGGCGAGAAGAAGAAAAAATATCAAGGAGCTTTAATTCACGCCAGCATCAATTTAGCTTTAATATCTATTTTCAGTATCTGCCTCCGGTTAAAATTTCACAGTCTATTTCACACTTCGCAGAACGTTGTGATTTTTCTTTCCTTCAATGTGAAAACAATATAGGAAATGCTCCTCGAATATTTGTTTCTCCTCAGTACAAGTAATGGTAATTCAATATATTTAGCAAGTTGAGCAATCGAAATACATGGCCTCAAAAATCAATATTACATTCAATTCAAATAAAGTGATTAAACTTCACATTGTGGTAATGTCATGTACTGATACGATTTCGGATGCTCTTTCGCGAAAGAGTCTTTTGTTCGCCAATTTTCAATATTGACGAAACAACGCCATTAATTTATACTACATAATGAATTCAATTTTGGTTTTTCAGTCAAGAACGGTTTAGCACTTGTCGTATTCGCCGCAAAATTTCTTTGCATTTTCAAGTAAAAGTTTTTTCGAGTGGCAGTTTTATTTGTGAATAATGTTTTTTTAATTATTCCGATCCAAGTGTAAGCATTTTACTGTAAGCATCTGTGTAGTACATGCGTTGTTTTCAAACGGAACACATAAATTACAGGCAATTGCAATGTATTTTCAAAAGCTTGTACAATGTACGTTCACACATTTATTGGCGCTTTAGATGTATGTTGTTGATTATAAATCCCCCTAGAATAGACGAATATAAAAAAAAAGGTTCAATCGCTTTTATTACCTTAGTTCCCTTCTGTCCAATCACAAATTTCAGCTCAGATTCAACGCCATTCAAGATGACTGATACGTTTTGTTCGACCGTAGATTCTAATCGAAGAGAAATTATTGTGTGAAAACAAAAGAAAATTGAATAAGGAAATAAAATGAGTTTTAGTTTCTCTCCCTCTCTGTCTTACCTGTATCCTCGTAAGCATTGATTGCATCGGATGTACAAAACTGAGTAATTAAAGCAGTTTTCCCAACACCTGGTCCACCAAGCATATGTACACGATATGATTCTACTGGACCGAATGACCGAGATGACAAAGGATTTGACACAGATGGCGATGGATTCGGTGACATTGGGCTGTTTGCCAAACTGTTGCTGCGCGATCTTTTTCTGCGAAATGAATCACCTCGATTGATTACACCTATTCATCAGAAAAAAGAAATTCAATTAGTTACTATTGGTTTTTTTTTCTCGATATTTATCCAGTAATAATTCATTGTGCATTCGATTCAATTCATTTGAAGATGATAGATGAGTAATAAATTCAAAATTTTTGCTGAATAGTTGTCATTGAACATTTATTAAAATTCCAATGTTGCATATAACTATAGCTGCACAGTTAATAATATATTATTAATTATACTATCGGTATTAACATCGCATGTTAATAATATATTAGTATGATAATAACGGTATTAACTGGTATTAACTAGTAAGTAATAGCGATACTCAATGAAGCAGCGGACTTGTCGGCACACTCGTGGATTTAGCATTTCACTTGCTTTGGTGATTCGTGAGTTGCTGAAGCATCATATATGCAGTGCACTCGATATTTAACGTGAAAAGCTTTATTCGATACATCGAAGTTGGCCGAGGTATGATTTCGTTTGCGCGTAGCGCGTAAGCAATTCACTTGCGATATA